TGGTTAAGTTTAGACGGGTCACCAAAAATCAGCCACATTTGGGGGCTAAAAAGCTGCTGGAAAAAGAGCAATGACTCATTTATTCATAACTGATTTGTTATTTATTGGTCTCAAACAGTGGTCTGCAGCTTGGCAGGCATCTAGCCCGGGTTACACGCCATCCACCATCCCCTCCACCTCCCAACAATAAAGTCCGCTCATAAACTACATCATTTTAGAAACACTGATATTAGTATAAAACATGCAAATGTTACAAATATTGTTATTTGCAGAATGCTAATATTTTTTTCTGGCGACTGGGCTGACCTCAGATAACCAAAGATGAACTAAAAATGTGAAGATGACTGTGCTGGGAGTACATTTTAAAATGTGTATATATATGTATATATATTCATTATGAACTGCTGTGTAGTCTTCAAATGTAAAAAATGAATACATATTTAATTTTTTTAATATAGAAATGGAAGGCCTGTTAAAGACTGACATGTGGTCTTTTCAGCTGTACAAAATGTGGATTTTCACAAGATTCTGACTGACCAGTTCACCGCACTGAAGACCATTTTAGAGCTGAAGAAACCTAATGTGTTCAGAGGAAGATAACAAGAGGTGACTGTAGCTTTAATCATATCAACAACAGAATGTAATAGCCATTCATGTGTTTTTTTTTTGTTTTTAATCTTGCCTGTTCGGCACATTCCTGCAGCCAATATGTTTTATCCTGTTATTTTAAACCTTGTGTGATAAATTGTTTATTTACTTGTGAGAATAATGAGGAGAAAGGTGGTATTGTTACATAGTTTCTTAAATAAATGATAAAACAACAGGATGCAGTTTCTGTGAAACTCCTTTTAATATTGCATAACTGATTTGAATGCCTGTGTGGAGTGAGTCATCAGCTGAATTTTCCTCATGCAGCTGAAGAGGGATGTAGACTCATTGTCATGGATCGCTGTCTTTGCTATGTGAAAATGTTGGGAATTCATGGAATGTGTTGAGTTGTTTTTTTAGTGTCACAAAAATGAAAGAAAATGTACAAGCTTTTGTAAAACAAGTATTGAAATGTTTAGTTAAAGTTAGATATTAAATATACTGACTTCTGAAGAAACAGCCAGAGATGAGAGGGTCAGAGTGGAGGGGGTTATAGAATGTGTCAGAGCGTGACGAGGCATGTCGTGAGGATAGCAAAAACAGATCGTCCTCCCACTGGTTTTTGTGTGTCGGGCCATGTTTCACCTGAAGCACAGGAAGCCACACAGCTTGCTGTCCCAGTTATTTTTATTTATTGATACAAACAATACATTTACGTCTTGATAGTCAATTTTGGTCTCCTTTCTAACTTGAAGCTCATTCAAAATGTGTTTCAGTCACACATTTTCAGACACACAAAGACAATAGGCTGTCGACAAAGGGGTATTGTGAACCAGAGTGAATGCTCCAGGTCCTTATCTCTAGAGAAGAAGTATGTGAACTGAGGTGTTTCTTGCAATAGCCCTGCCAAAGGATTCCTCCCCCTCCCCCAGGTACACACGTAGACTGTGAATGGTGATAGCTTCCTGTTTAATGACTGGTTGGTTGAGGCTGCGCTCGGGGCCGTTTTAAGAGGTAAATGATTGTTGTGTGAGTGTCGTCTTACCCTTTGTCAGCACTCTGAGTGGAATACCTTCTTTTCACATGTTGGGGACAGAGCCACTCCCTGTCTGTTATATTTACATAGTTCCACTGTGTGACCAAGGCAAACAGAAATATTTTCTAACCAAAGCACTCTGCGGCTGCAGTGGAAAACTGATAATAAAATATCACCAGGGGAAGAATTCTGTAGATTTAAAATGGATTATGTATCTGATAGTTTAATAAAACAGAGAAAGGAAAAAGTTAAGACCCCTTAAATTATTTTCTCAGAAGTCAACACTGGTTGTAATTTATACAAGTTAGTGTAGCTGAAAGATTTGGATGCATTATGAATTCTGCAGGGATTGGCATTTCCTGTCTCAGAGTGCATGACCATGAATGGTTATGTAGGAATGAAAGGCTTAAAGACTTAAGGGTAAAGTTAAGGGTAAACATGTACATGCATTCATTTTTTTTAAGATATGCTAACATGCTACGTTTTTCTCATCATAACAAACTATGAACCTTTTTGCAGCTCTGCAATGACAGCTATGAGAGACAGCGTTGGTATGGTAAGAACGGAAAGTTCTCCATATGATGAGCTGTGACTTGTTTTCGTGCACAGACACATTTGCAGTAGCTGCACTCCAAAGAGCTCAATGCAACACATATAGCCCTTTTCACCAACATTAGCATGTGTATGCAGTATTTTTAAACACCGGAAAACCTGCTAAAAATAGGTGATAAACTCCTCTCCCATTGCCAGATGTAAATGCCAGTTGTAAACTGTATGTTAGCAGGTCTTTTGTGATTTATTTATGAATTTATTTATTTATTTTGTGCAGTGGTAAAGGGGCTATAGTTTTAATGCACCACTTTTTTACACTATGCAGAAACTGAAATCTAAAAATTATGTTATTTCATGCCACTTTGGTTTTTGCATAAATTAAACATGAGATATAACATATTAATTAGGCGGGGGGTTTTTTGTTGTTACTTGCAACAGAGCCAAGCCAGCTGTTCCCCTCGTTTTCATTCTTTATGCTAAGCTAAGCTAACTTGCTGCTGATATATTTTACAGTGATGAAAACATCTTCTAATCAAACTCACAGCAAGAAAGAAGATTTTTTCAAGAAAGAAATTTGCCTAAAATGTGGATCTATTCCATTAAATATTGCTTTAAGACCTGGTGATTTTATTTAACGTCAATAAAATTCAGCTATGTTTTGGAATTCAGGGATATTTTTTCACGACTGTTATTATGGTTTAAAAAAAAAAAAAGGACAAAGTACCAGCGTAGTTAGTTCTGCAGTTGCACACACATATGTATGGTGGTTTGTGTTGCATACAGTATTTTCATGATGCAACATGTCCGGTGTGCTTTAAGGTTCTTGTAAGTTGCAAGAGGCCTGTAACCACATGACTGGCACATGGTAGAACTTTGTTTTTTTTTAACCTGGTCCCTATTTTCCCATGTACTTGAGTCTAAGGGCTTGTTTTAGCAAGTGAATTTTCACTATTGCCTTCAGGGTGTCGTTATGCCCAACCTGCTTGTAAGGGTAATCACTGTTCCTAGGTCTTTTATCCCCTCTGCTGTCCGACTGTTAAATATATCCTTATGAATTTGTATGGTTTGGGTACTGTGTACCTTTTTATGTATGTTATCATCCAGTGCTTAATTAGGCTGTTTTTAATGAATATATTTATTGGTGTTTTTTTAATTCATTATTGGGGCTAACAGATTTTGCACACAGCTGTCAACTTTCTTTCTGTGTTTCTATGTGTTGTGGCGCAAGCTGTCAAATGGAATTGCCCTTCAAGGGATTAAAAAAGTTGTCTTGAGTCTTGAGGTGACTAATGGGAACATTTGTTATTGAAATTGGTCCAGTATTGAGTAGGGGTGGGACTCACTAGAGGCCCCACAATACGATATTATCATGATGCATAAGTCACTATGCAATATTATCGTGATTTTTAACGTGCTGTGATATGCTGAGTATTGCAATAAAATACA